GCGTTAGTCCACGTACAGCCAGACCCGTGATGAGCGCGGCAGGTAAAGACTTTCTGCTTGTTTATTACCGCGATAAAACGTTCCATTAAAACGGATTACGTTGCAATTGAATATATTAATGTTACTCGTGCTGCAATCTTAATATAAAAGACTTGTCACTCTGTTTTCATGCTGCTTTGCGACTTCTCTTTACATTAAACATATGAAGGTAGTACGGAAAATTTGCATCAGACCACGAGTCAACCGCACGGTCCGCTCAGACGTACTCCGTCCTTGCCTCGGTCTTATCGTCAATCTGGTATCCCGATACTACAAAGACCAACAGACAGTCATTGTAATTGTTCTATCATCGTCATTTCCTACAGAAATAAATCGCACTTTGTATACGTTACGTCACACACTCCAAAGAAAGATGCACAAACGGAATTGTCTTACGTTGATTTCCTTTTTTTAATCTTGCACAGAAGTTGTAAAGTAGAAATTACACGAAGCTAATATCACAGAATTAATCCATTTTATAATTCTACAGACCGAGGTACACCAGGAGTTAGATCTACCAGCGCAATTGATTTGCAAGCTGCTCAAAGAGCGAAAGCGAGATTGATGTACGCGAATATGAGCAGACAAAAAGCAGCGGCACTTCGTGAGTAATATTTTATTAAATTTTATAAAGTCAAATGATCAAATTGAACAACTCTTTGTCATTATATGTGCAATAAATTGTACTATTTTGTATTATTTCAGCTCGTCCTACTAAATCCCCGGATCCCAATGCGGTTGCTAGCCCAGAAAGAGTGGCAAGGACGAGGACAAGAGTGGCGGGAGTTTCGCAATCTCAACGTACGTTTTGCAATTTTTTGAGAAGAGAAAGAAAAGAAATACGTAACGGAGAATTATTTTAACGAGAATTGTTTTTCCACAACAGCTAGTAGTAGATCGGGTTCCCCGTCGTCTAGATTAAGTTACGCCACGTACAATCGTGAAAGTGAATCACTAATCGGCAGACCAAGGCGATTATCCGGACATACTATTGGCAGCACAAGTAACAGTCGTGAGCCGAGTCCGCAGAGATTTGGGAGCAAACTAAGGTAACAATTCCGTTTATCGAAAATGCTGTAAATTTGTATAGTTGTGATACAAATTATTTGAATTGATAGAGGGAGGAATCTACACATTTCGCCAACGGACAGTACTAGACCACCAGTGATGGCGCAGAAGATGTTGCAGAAATCACGCGAAGCGGAGTCTGCGTTGGCGGATGCTCTAACCTTCGACAGTATCGATAATTACACCAGAATACCGGGCAACAAAGGGGATCATAGTGACGACAGCGAAAACAGCAGTATATGCTCGGAAAGAAGTGTAGACGGTTTTAGACGAGCCAGTGATGTAAGTGCAAATTTTATTAGTAAATGGAAGAAATAAGAAAGTGACGCACATTCGTTGGCTTTAGTATTGAATTTTTGTTACTTCGATCAAAACATGGACATTACAGAATCGAAGTTATGTAATATGTTTATTGTTAAATTAATTTTTTTTTATAAGCTAGCACACACACGTTTACAGAGGAGAAAATGACGAACACTTTCACTTATGTGTCATATGCTTAATATTATGAATTTACACATTTTTAAATTATAATTAATAAATTTACTGCTTTTTATAATTGATTGGTTGATGCTTATACACGGTACTTGGATTTTATTTCAATTTTAATGGCATGCAAATTAATACGTAAATTTCAAAATTTTTAATATATTTTAGTTTTATAATTTAATAAAAAATATATTTGTTAAGATAGAAAATGTGTGAAGTTATTTTACAATTTTATATTGATTATACGAATCAAATTTTTATTATAGAAAACAAAGTACCTCAATGAAGCTTTTAGCACTGTATGATAATATAGCTAATGCATGATTTTTTCACTTTTGGTTTTGTTGCGGCATATTTGTTTGGTTTGGACTAACGCGACACGCCGTTCTGTTCTCCATATTTCTCCATCGCCCATCTACCCATTAGTCGTTCTCATGGAGTGGCTCTCAATCGAGATTATACCGTGATCTATGGGATCAATCTATCCCGAAGGTTTGTTAAATTCCTTTTTTTTATTTTATTTCTGCTCATTGAAGTAAAACTGACTTATTAAATATTCATATAAATAAATTCGTATAAATAAATCGATTAATACAGCAATTGTACGTTAGTATTAAAAAAAGAAAAGATTATTATTTTGAGAACATTCTTTTTGTTATCCATTATTTTGCATCAAGAATATTTCAGAATATAGTTATGAATTAACATTAATACTTGGAAAACAACACGCAGCAATTTTTTCTCATTTTACAGGACATCAAAGAGATTATTGAAAACTGTGCTCATAAACATTGGGGAGACAGAAAAGAAGGTTTAGTGGGCTTGCAACATTATTTGAGCAACGGAAATACTTTGACAACAACAGATTTGCGTAGAGTGACAGATATTTTTACGAAAATGTTTATGGATTCTCACACCAAAGTGTTCAGTTTGTTCTTGGACACATTGAACGAACTACTGATTACTCACAACGAAGGTCTTGGCGATTGGTTATACGTTTTATGTGCGAGGCTTCTCAATAAGTTAGGCACCGATCTATTGGGATCTATACAAACAAAGATACATAAAACGCTTGATGTTGTGAGGTAAGGATACAACAATTTTTATTCACGCAATACTGTATTATTTGTATTATCAAGTTTATTGTGATTATTAAATTTTAATATGCACGTAATTTGTTCAGAGATTATTTCCCGGGCCAACAGCTTCTACCAGCTGTGATGAGGTATCTGACAGATCCAACACAAACACCAAATTCTCGCGTGAAAGTAGCAGCATTGACTTTTATCACGCAGATCGCTGAGACGGCAGAACCGTCCGCGCTAGGTAGTTCTGCAGCGACAGCACTTGCACGACTGCTCGACTGGTCGAATGATGGCAAAAGCCACGACGTGAGGAGACATGCGCAAAACGCTGTGATATCACTTTACAATCTTAATCCGCCTCAAGTTACTATGATACTCTCCGAATTACCAAAATACTATCAAGTGTGTTGAATGAACTAATTATTAACTTACTCATCTGCGTTTTCTCATCGCGCTGAATTATTGTTTTTCTTTTTTTAGGAAACAGCCTGGCCTTTAGTACAGAACCATTTAAGGAAATCTTCCACTTCTAGTACTCCAGCATCACCTGGTACACCACCACCTAGATCGCAAAATTCGCCCGCTCGAACGAAAGCGAAAAACGATGTTAAAGTGGACAAGACTGAAATCGATGGAGGAGACGAGAACTTGGAGGAAGTATATAAGTACGTGGACAGCGTTTTGTTATGTTAATTTATTTGCAACACAATCTAGATATTTTATAATTAAATATAATGAAATCTAACACATTCTAATTTTTAAACAATATTAAGTATACTAATTTTTGAAGTCCTTCCTACAGATCTCTACGACGCACGACCGCCGAAATCCAAAATTACGGCTTCGAACGTTTAGAGAGAGCCACCACCAGCAAAGATAGTGGTATCAGCAATATGGCAGATGTGGAGGAAAGAATGGAAGGTTTGACGTTATCCAATTCAGTAAGTTTAATAAAATAATATCGTAACAAAACAAGAATGAATTACGATGAGATTATCCTAATTATTATTTCCAGGGTCGATCCTCGTCCGTTTCCTCACCGACGCAACGAGGACGATCTGTTAGTAATATAACGGTGAATGGATCCGATACAATTGCCGGTGATTTGATTCTACCTCAAGAGAACAATGGTTATAAAACGCATGGTATGTGTTTTATTTTTTCAGAAAAAAATCTGTGTATATAAAATTGAAGTGTTTTATATTATTTTATATACAGGATCATCACCAGATTCAACAAACAGGCCAGAAATCGTAGACAATATGGTTAAAACTCTGCAATCTAAAGTAGCGCAAACTACGGAAAAAGTATCGGCGTTGCAAGAATTTCAACTCTATGTCCGCGAAGGCGATTCGTCATATATTAAACGAAATTTCAAGTACGTCACGATGTATAACTCACACGTATCTTAAGGCTCGTTTCCTACTGGAGTTGATCGTGGCAATCGCAATACTAGCTTCTTTTTCTTCTTTTATAAAGAAGAAGCCAGTATGTCAATAGCGAGCCTTAACGCGGCATTTTAATCCTGGTGATTTAACGATTCTTTGACATTTCAGGAAAGTGCTCAAAGTTTTGTTAGACAGCTTATCCAATGACGGTAAAGTGATACAAGTAGAAGTTCTACAAACGCTGATCGATATGCTTAAGTGTTCCGAGTTGGTAGAAAGCTTTTCCTCTTACAATGAGTTACTAATATTGAAAGTTATCTACGCCTACAAGTCAGACGATCAAAAGGTCGATTCTTCCGGCGGTAGCGGTGGCAGATCTCCAGTGAGTATTAATTTTAACTAATAAGTTAGTAGTGTTACATATCTGTGACATTATATATCATTAACAGGTTCATTGGAATGCGGAAAAATGCGCGGCGACGATGGCCATGGTTTTAAAACCGGAACAAATTATCCATTTAGTCTCCACTATAATTGCTACAGAGACATACCCATTGAATATGGGCGCGATAAAAATGTTGCACAAGGTGGTAGAGCATTGGGGTCGAGAAGCTATTGAACCTCATCTTGCCAAAGTAATGCCTGGTCTTATTAAGGTGAGAAAAGTTGATGAAATTCAAATTTATATTTAACATATTATATTGTACTATACTCCGTTCAACGAGAGAATGATCTCAGATCGGATGAAAACTCGTCTGCGTTTTGCACAGGTCTTCGTAGCGTTGTACAGCGTTACATTGCCTGCTATGCGCAAATCGAGGTCATTCTCTTGAACAAAGTATATGTATTGATTGTATTTTTCTTTGTATTACAGGCTTACGATGACAATGAGAGCGCGGTTCGTAAGAGCGCAGTCTTTTGCATGGTGGCAATCCACGTCGCGGTCGGCGAGGAAGCGTTGAAGCCGCACCTAAGTTGTCTGTACTCCAGTAAGCTCAAGCTACTGAACATCTATATACAACGTGCGCAACAGCAAGCGAACAGTCAACCCGCGAGTCCGCGTAGTAACAGCAAGAATTAACCAACATCCAATACCACGACTCTCAGGGTCGCGATACTTAAAAGATTCGCTCGCTTCGGTGCGCGGCATGAGCAAGTGCTTGTTAGCTTTCTCAGTAAGTCCGATCCATCATGATGGTTGATGACGACGGTTTTAATAGTATGACTCGAAAGTTTTGATACGATAGAGACTGATGTGCGTATGTGTGTGTGCGTCACTTCGCGATGGAGTGCGAATCGCTGTTCGAGACGACAAAGATATATGCGGAATCAACGCGACGATAATTGTTTTGATGTTACGTTTATTGAATTAATTGTTAAAATAATAAGGGCTTGTATAGTTGGTTAATTCTTATTAAGAGAGTAAAGGGAATTCGTAACATACGGTTCGCAGATTTTTTTCATCTTTTATGAGAGCATAAAACAACTATATTGCTATAAGATTAATTATACGCCTTTAAGTGAGTATCACGTAATTTCGACTGATACATCTTTTAAGTACCGTTTCGTGATACGCAAGGAGGTTTTTTTTTTCTGTGGAAAGGTTGGTGAAATTATTTATGCAATATTATATATTCCTTTACGAAATGAACGGCTTCTTAATTTGTTTAATTTTGCTAATCATCTTTTTTATTTTCTTACCACGATCTTGTACATAATGCCAACTATGCCGTGTTTTATGGATAGGAAGCCACAGTATTTAGGAAGTCCAATATTTATGTTGATACGTACATGATCGAACTTTTATTTTCATTTTTGCAAACAGTTAAGATTATAAAATATTTTTTTTTTTCTCCCGAGACTTCAAACCTTCCATCGCCATAAGAAACTGATAATTCAACAAGATGGATGACAAACTGAGAGAACACAATGCAACATCACTGTCTACGAATGATTTAAATGTCTCTCGTAATGCGCAGCCGAAACTAATCACGCAAATTAATCAGCAGATGTTAAAATATGTATATTGTATGCTTATTTACATTAGTACCGAATTTACGTTTAGCGTCGAGCGTAATTGCATGTCCGGCGATATGTCGTGGATGCACCTCACAGCAACGACACGTGATACGGAAAAGTGAAAAGTGTATAATTTATTCAACTGAAATCTTCGTGCTAGTCAGATTCCCAAGGACGCACAATGACGTAAAAGACACAAACGGAATAGTCGAGTCTTTTTTGATGAACCATGCATAGACACAAATAAAATTAAACACATTAAATTAAATAATACATACACGGAAGAATACATACACGTGAGAAAGAGAGAGAGAGATTTTTAATGTGAGAGAATGAGATTGCGTGGCTGAGAAATTAGCGCGTGTTTAAGAAGCAAGCATAAATAAAGTAGCAGTGATTAGTAAATTGATCTGCGCGGGACTAACATTAACACTTAAACTGTTCATCACGTTGCCAATAATTGAATGAACGCTAAATCAAACGCTAACGTAATGAGTTTAGTAACATTTTGTGCCATTGTCGTTTCTGTTTACTGTATAAGAAAAAAAATTATATATATTCTACGTATAAATCATCCCTTTTGTCCTTTTCTTACTACATATATTTAGTCGAGATACGATATATATAAGGATAATAAATATAATTTTATTATGAATTTGTCAAGGCGCAACATTGAAGTATTACGAGATATCGGAAAAATCATTTTTTTGGAAACGTTTTCGATATGGATACGAATATACTGAACGTAAAACAAATAGAGAAAAGTGAGTCACTTACGATAGAATATAAAAAATCTGATAATATCTCGATAATTCAGCGTGATGACGCGGTAATTCACGTCTCGGACACAATACGGCCAAATAGTGCCAAAGAAAATGCAAAATATTGAATGAATATTAGAGTGAGGAGTAATTTGAAAGGGAAAACACGAGACAGACGTGCTGTATTTCTTTTACTTGGTGCCTTTGGCGTCGACGCGACGGAATTTGATTGAAGATTGTCTTTCAGCATCACCTAGAAACAATTTTGCGGATAACACGATCGAGATTATAGAGGAGGAAAATACACAAGGTCTTCGACTGTTGCCGACGTCGTATAAATGAACACTGCTTCGCGATAAAGAAAAAAAAAGAAGAAAAAGGTCTTATTGATTATTCTCGTAGCATAGAGAAATTTTAGATGAACTCGATATTTTTTCCATTCTGCGCTCCGAATAGAATCTCGGAAAGTACATTTCACGAATAAATATTTATTTCACATGCGAGGAATATTAATTACTCTACGCTTGTGCGACACTTTATTCAAGATGCTGAATTGTCAAATTATTGTCGAGATAAATAAATGCTTTGTGGATAGCCTCTCGTGGAAAAGACGAGACGGATCTTCGTTGCGTAATTAAATAATCGATATTTCGCGCGGCGATATTCTAATTGAAAGATTTAATCGCGGAAGATTCAAATACGCCATTAAGTAACCATTTGCAAAATCAAGTTGTATCAAAAAGAGGGCTCAACGCTGTTCGATAAAATTCGCAAAGATCCATTTTAAATATACATATATATGCGACGTTTATTTCAAATATGCATCTTGCGAATCTTGTCTTGCGTTGAATTCGCAATTTTCGTTACTCAAGCGCTTTGGCGATCTATTTGACTTCACGTCGATTTAGGGCATGGCCTGTGTGACACGTGGTTGTGTGTGTATATATATACATATACGAAATAATACTTAGAACGTGTAATTATATTATACGTAATATAATAATTGATATATGGATTAGGTAGCTCATCGTCACTGCCTGCAGCGTTGGTCGTGCTGAGGATATGAGGCTCTCTGACACAGCCAGGCTCTGCGTGGTGATAGTGTTTATCGATTCGCTTGTTCTGTTAAGTTTTATGAGCGTTATTATTATTATTAATATTATATCGATACTCGACTTGCGTTGTAACTGTAACTCGATGCGTGTGTGATATATATGAGGATTTGGCGGTGGGCGTTACGAACGATCCTCTGCGATAGTCTCTCCTTTCTTTTTCGAACGCGAAGCCGGATCGTTCGGTCGCCCACGGAAAAGCTATAAAATGTAAGCCTCCTGCGTTATCATTTTAATGTTTGTTAACATCCGCTGTTAACTATTTCGCGAGCATAATAAATTTCGTCGTTAAGCGTTTCTGTCGTGCCCTCCCACGTGCACCGCTATCACGTTTCTTCTTCTTTTTTTGCAGTTGCAAATCGCAGTTTTTATTCGTCCGCTTTGCGCGCAATGCGAAATGCCCAAATCGGCGCGTTAAATTGTCCTCCCGATTATTCGATGGTTCGACTGTCGAAAAACAAATTTCATGTGTGTGCGCGATGATCGACTGACAGCGCGACTCGTGCGATCCGCTAAACGATACTTATTTCTGAAATTCGAGAAGTAAAAGCAAAGATACTTGGATACTTGGATTTGAGATTCAACAGTGTGGCAAAAAGCTCAACTTGAAAAAAGTTGATTTCCTGAGAAAGTATGAGTGAATGGGCACCACAGTTATTTATGAAACAAAGAATGTATTGTAATTAGTAATTATTGCGTCTAATTATTGCGTCTTTATTGCTATGAAAATTTTACATATGTTCGATTATGTTTAATATATATCATATTAAAGGGGCGTGAGACACATTTTCTTGCTGCGAACTCGATATATGTAAAAAAATCTGGAAAAGCTTAGTAAAATTTTCAAAGAACGTTCCTTATAATATGTTGCATTATATTATGAATCATGCAGTTCAATTTTTAATCAAGGAGAAATATTATATATATTTTAGAGGCCGATATATTCATAATCGGTTCTTATTTCAAGACCGTCTTAAGTAATGTATTATAAAATGCTAATATGGTGGCTTTGCTAATATGATTGTTTTATCTTAAGACTGCATTTAAAACAGTTAAATATAAGAATTAATTGTGAATACCGGCCCAAGAATCTGATTAGATTGGATTACGTCTGTTTTAGCTTTGGAATTCGAATGTTCCGCTTTTGTTCTGAAGCATCATGAAGTTGACGTCGATGCGCGACATCGCATGATTTCGAGTCGAACGGATCTCACGCAAGTTCAATCCGTTCGCGACGCATCTTTGAATTCATTCTTCGCGCGTGTGTTTCAATAATTTGTGCGAAGAAGTACTTCCTCGAGCCACGATGTCGTAGATGTGAGTACTATCGTTATTCATCTCGTTAATTACGTTAATTCGAGCGTGGACAATATTTTGAATAATTATGAGCGCGATATGTGCCTGAAAACGAGAGGTCTAATCGAGATTAATTATTTCGTCACGAATCATTCTGCGAATAGTGCGAATTAATGAAATGACCAAATTGCTGAAAAGAAGAATGGCAAATTTCTGTTAATTATATTTCGTAAATTGCGTGTCAATCTTGTGACGGTTATAGTTACGACTGTCCGGTATAATGGATTCTCGAGATCGGAGCTGTTTTCTTCATCGCATTTGTGTCGCAAGCGCACATATGGTTGTTAGCCCTGGCGAAAAAATTTTTACGAAAAACTACATAGATTGAAACAATAAGGTCTTAGAAATTCTTCATAGAAGTTTTTCATAGATATTCGTACAATAGTAAGACGTAGAGTGGCGTTGTTTATTCGAAAAAGCAAGAAATCCTCCGCCCTCAAATAACGACACTACGTTTCACTATATGAATATTTACGAAAAATTAAGAATTTCTAAAATTTTGTCCCATTGTTATTTTTCTGTACTTTTTCGTAAAAATTTATTTTTCGCCAGGATCTGGAGACATCGAAAACGTACGTTCTCAGACAACATAAAGTCCAAAATCGGAATACAAGATGTCTTAAAGATATTTTTGCAAAAGACATCTTTAAGATTTCGTATTGTCTGGATTTGTAATTAGACTTTTACCCGCGTTCGACCTGTCGGATCCGTCTTGACAAATCTCAACGCAGAGACGAAAGCCCGAGGAGAGAAATAAAATAGAGAATAAAACGCGAAGTGATAAAAAGCTCTATCGAGATTTTTTTCACGCCGATAAATTTGAACAATAAGCTATCATCGCAATATTATCACTGTATTGATATTGTAATTGCCAACTTAACATAAGGTATTAATACGAGACGTCGTTACTGCTCTCTGCATTTCCGTTTGCGATCAAGCCGTTTCTTCCTTTCTTTAATACAAATAAAGATCGCATTAAATATGTAGTGTAATTTGGCAATTGCAATAACGATTTCTGTCATTGTTCGCTCGTCGATTCATTCGAGACCTATCAGGAATATTGCGAAAGTTTCCTGAGGAAATAAACATTTGGTCCCAATCTGGTCTTTTTAATCAATCCTGTACTTTTTACCAAAGCTTTATTACGAAAAATGAACGTGATATTTATTAAGATCGATTGATTTTCCTAGTAGCAATTATTGACACAATATTGCCCAAATATTAGCCCAATATAAATATATTTAATCGATATATTGCTAATAAATTGTCATTGGATTTCCTGCATTCATCATTATTGTATAATCGATAATTATTTCTAAAGTAATCTCTGAATTATAATTTGTTAATTAGACGGACGATTAAATCAATTAAGAGAAATAATATTCTATTTGTATTTCAGAGAATGAATTTATATACATATTTAATTCTGCGAACCGCGCGCAGAAATCTTTTTCAATCTTGAAACACAATCATAAACAGAACTAGAGTAGTTTATATTAAATTAGTAAGCAATTTAATAATTTTGCCAATAAACAAACATAAGAATAATTTGATGTTAAAAACTGTAAGTAATTTCGCGCGCGGTTTGCAGAATTGGATACTTATATAAATTCACACTGAAATACTTAAGCACTGAAATCCGCTTTGTGTGACCGAAAATAGGATTATTTCTCTCAATTGATCTAATCTCTTCAATTTATCGAATCGTAATTAAATTTAAAATTAAAAGGAGGAAAGTGCTTTATATTACAAATGCTTTATTAAACTAATATAAACAATGACATATATAATAATGTGTATATAATAATAGAAGCTCGTATAACGATACAAACGTACATCGACCTAAATATCACCGCGTATACATGAAGAACGGCAGAACGGAGAGAAAACGGAGGAGAAATCTCTCATTGTTCCAAATTCACGCGTTTTTGTGACAGCGGTCTCGTCAGAAATTTCTAATTTGTATAACGCAAGCATATCGAAAAAGATTCACAAAAACGCAAGGTCTTCCTTCATATGTCACTCTTTTCGCGAACGAATACGAAGTTTCTCGCTACGGATAAATTAGGTATTAAAGCTTGTCCATTTTACGAGAGAAATAAAGAAAAATAAACTGGAAAATGATATCACATGTAATAAAAGTAGATAATCGATGGCCGGCTGCATCGAGTTTGGCTTTATCAATTCTTCATTCGTTCTTATCGGAACGATCGAGTGAACGGTGACCAAACATAGGGTGCTATTCATAGTCCTTCAAGGAAAATCTGAGACTGGAAATAGATCTAAAATCTTACGTCTTAGGTTGAATCCTTAAGTTGAATCTTAGATTCCATTCAACCAATATAACGATCGAGACAATCGTCTCAAAATGACTGATTATATTAAATATAAGATTAGACTATGAGCATCACTCATAATCGCGATGAAACTGGCCATCAGTCGGAGATGAAACTTATTTTGCAAAAGCGTGATGAACGGCACGTCGCCAATGCAAGCCGAAAATTACGGAAGGTTTGTCTCTTATTGTAACTTATCACATTCGTATATGGCATATACCGTGTATTTCAACGTATAAAAATATAAAATTTGATTCGCCGATTGGATTCGCCCTTCCAATCTGTCGAAGAGTGCCGTCCGTCACGGGTTTACATGACGATTTCCTTCCTCAAGTCTATTTAGACGGAACGATTTTGTGAAACTATCTGAACCACGCAACAATTTATTGAATTACTATTTGATTACAATTAAATTATACAGTGGAGTTTATTTTTTATTTACAAATTTAATTGTCAACACGTGAGTGACAAATGCGATTGTATTCATGTCGCTGTTTTTCGTTGAAGTGTCTGCACGATATTACGATGAATGAAATATGAATGTTGTAAAGTCTGCAATGTTTTATGACCACGCGAAAAGAACGGTTTTATTGAAATATTTCAAAAATTTAGTTACCCAGACAACATCCAAAATCAGGACACAAGATCTCTAAAGCCTTGTGTCCACAATGCTAGAAGAATCAGTCCGAGATCTCGGATGAAGAAAGAATTGATCAATCATGTTACCAAATTGTTCAAATGTGACTTGTTAATTCTTTCTCTGTCCAAAATCTCGGACCGATTTCTAACATCATGGATACAAGACTCAAAAGACGCCTTAAAGATTTTTTGCAAGAATAACGAAAACTATGTAAAAGATGTATTGTGTCCCGATTTTAAACTTTGTGTTGTCTGAATACATCTGAATACAGATCTAAAAATAATTATGTTGAATCATTTAAATAATTATATTAGACGATTAAGCTGGTTGTCAAGATTTTTGCAACATTAATTATTATCACGAGTATTCTACGTAATTATTATTTTTAGATCTGTATTGGCCTAATTTTTCTATATGATTGGCAAAATCCTTCTTTCCGTGTATCATTGCGAGCGCTACTTTTTTAAACAACGTCTCGCTCCGTCTAAATGGTCCTTAATGACATTAAAGTAAATATTTCTTAAACGATCTAAGTATCTATCCTAAGTAAACGGCGCCGAGCGCAAGCAAATTATCCGCTCAATAAACTCGCTTGATCGCAGCGAATTCGCGAAGTATTATATATCGAGAATTTCAATTTTTCAGAATGAAATCTCGTTTTTTAAAATGAGATGAACTCTTTAATGAGAAATCAACTTTTTAGAGTGAGATTTCACTCCAAAGAATTTCGAGAGAAGAAATGCTCGATCGGAAAATTTATTACAAATCGCTATACTATTTTTTATCTATCTCAGACTAAAGTTTCAGCGACGCTATCACATCTCTCCGGTATCTATATAAATTCATTTATTACGTAATTACTCAATATATTAAATATTTTTACGGTTTTCAATCGTCTATGTGTGAATGTTCGTAGATCGTAAATTATTTAATCTTCCCGGGATCGCATTGTTACGTTACGCCATTGAAGTAAAAATCGAGTGACAGTTTAGAAAGCGGAGAATTCTTTATCGCGATCAATTCTGTGTTCTACGCGACATCAGATCGGCATTATAATACTGTAACGACAATCCTCATGCTAAATTCTCGTAGGAAAAGAAAATTGGAGGCACTATGCTTGGACGCTCTCGCGCGAAGCGTATACGATTCTTTGCTAAATCGCAAATCTCGCATTCTTTACCGCGCGGTGTATTATCTCCCTCTCTTTTTCTCTCTCATTACGTAATAACGTTACATTAATAATATATCTCGACGTGTATAATCAGCTCTAATCCGATGAGGAGCGAAACATTGGAGAAACATTTTTCGTTGGCTTCGCTTTTATCGTACATACATATACATCGTACGATATGCGCGTGTCACACATCACGTGAACGTTTAGATCAAACTCTAAATTATGTAATTAATAAGTGAGACTAAATGAAAGCAACGAAGCGCAAAATTACATTCACTAAGATTTAGCTTCGCACTTCATTTATCGTCCCGTTCGTAAAGTTGTGCCGCTTTTCCAAATATTCCAAGTATTCGGTTCGTCTCACCAGATACGATTCACGTATTCAGAACGAATGAACTAGTTATAGCATTTGTATCAAAACGGTA